AGGAAAAAAATAAGAACAACTTATTATTATTTTTCCCTGAAGAAAGCTTATCTCAGCACAACGTGTTGAATTCTTATAGAGTGGAATATTCAACTTTTTAAAAGTAAATCATACACTACCTGTAGTAAGTAATACATATTGGTGACAAATCACATAGGATGTACAGTATATTAAAGCTCATAATGCATAGTAGATTACAATGTGACAAAAATGTTGGGAGAAAGAAAGGGAAGAGAGAGAGAGAGAGAGAGAGAGAGAGAGAGAGAGAGAGAGAGAGAGAGACTGATTGATTGAGTTTGACCAGAGAAAAAAGGAAGACATAAGGATAAGAAAATTTTAAAAATTAAAATTAGGCAGTGAAGACCTTGTCTATAGGGTAGAGTTTCTAAACTTAGAGTAAAAGGAGTCTGTAATACAAAAATGCTAATTCTTAGACCTCACTGTAGACCTGCTAGGCCAGATACTCTGCAGTGAAACCAAGGAATCAAGGGAGTTCCTGGGTACCGCTCCCAGTCTGCATTGCTCTGCCCAGCACCAGTCTAGGTGGCACACTGCTCTCAAGGACCTCGTGCTTAGAACAAACACAGAAAGCCAAACTTGTCTTTGCCTGAAGATTTGTGCCTTCCCTTCAAGCCTGAAATGTAATAATATAAGCCTGCCCTTATTTCTACTAAAAATGAATGAATCAGAGTCACTCAGCTTGCATAAATTTTAAACATCTTTCCCTAGGAGATTTAAAATAATTCTATATGTAAACAAATCACTGTTTCTGAGTGTTCCTTCCTTAAAAAAAAAAAAAAAGGTTACTGTGAATTTACTTGTAATGAGCAGCCAGGAAACAGTTTCCAAAAATCACTTACTTCTTTCCCCCATGGCAATAGAAATCCTAGGTGCACAGGGCCTGGCTCTGCACAGAACCAAAGGAGCAACCTTGGTGTAGCTTCATGCCATGAAGGAAGAGGCAGGCAGAGCCCATGAGGCTGCAATTCCTGTGTCTCTTTCCAAGGCTTAATCCTGCCCCCAAGAAGGTCTCTTGCTAGAGGAAAAGAAAAGGATAATGTGAAAGGATGAAATGGAGTAAGACAAAAAACACAGGAAGACCATTCCTTTTATATGCATGCGCTGTGCTAAGATTTCACACCCTCAGAAAAGTTGACATTCATGCACAGACTAGGTTCAGCAAAGGAGATTTAACCTCTCTCATCACCACCCAGGAAGGAAGGAATTAGGTTAGCACCAGCTGCAAAGCAGTGCCCTCCCTTTGGTGATGGCACCTAAAGGGTTGGGATGAAGACCCTAATGAGCTTCTCTGCCATCCTTACTGCAGGGTATGAAAGGAAAATAAGCAGATGAATAAAGAGGAAGAATTCTCCTGGAGATTTGTGAAAGGATGAATGCTATCCTGCAAGCTCCTGCTCCCCAGATGAGTGTAGGTTACTCTGACTTCTGCTCTGGGACTGTTTCTACAGTAAAGAGCACAAGGCAGAAAAGCATTCCTTAGTGAGTTCAAACTAAACCTGTGTTGGACTTGTAGGTCATCTGGGATGCATTTCTTTTTCTGATTTGGACTCCCTTCTCTTTAGACCTGAATGTCTAAATGGATGAAATCCCCTCTATCATTGTGACTCCTGGGCTTGGAGGTCTTGCTTAATTGAATATGGCTGACTCTGGTAAATTTTGCCTCCTGGTCAAAGCTTCCACCTAGAACATAAGCTAAACAGAACAACTTGCATTGGTGGTTTCAACTTGCCTAATGGGTTGCTGCTTTTCTTTAGAATACAAGCCTCCTCAGCCAGAAGAAGAAATTAGAGGCTGATGTTGCTCAGATGCAAAAAGATGCTGAACAGATGGTGCAAGCATGTCAAAATGCAGAAGAAAAGGTCAAAAAAGCAGCCACAGAGGTGGGTCTATTGATTGCCTGCTTGGTCTGACTTTCCAGAGCTCACTAGAGCAGTAACCTAGAAACTGAGCCAATCTGCAGCCCAGAAAGCTTCCATTGATTCCTCATTCAGTCAGGTAGAGGTTAGATGACCCTTTGCCTCCCTGTTTTGAACATTTGACCAATTGGTTCCTATCTTTTAAACTACTCCAGAAATGAAAAGGACCAGATGAATTGGAAATCTTGTCAATATTTTTTAAGTTTACCAATTTTCCACTTTGTGGAATCAATATAAGTTGTATATAAAAACAAAGGAGCCTATATGGTTTTATGATGATGATTTGGAAAAGGTGTATGTTAGGATTCTCTAGAGGAACAGATTCAATGTAAACTGTATGTAGAATTCTAAAAGGGATTTATTAGGTAAGTTTACAGGATCAGAAGGGGAAGAGTCCCAGGGACTGTCTACTTGATTAGAGATGGAAAAATCGAAATTGCTGTCTTCATGCTGAGCAGCTAGATGATCAAGGAGCAGTTAGAAGTTCAAGACCTGGAAGATCACTGTAGTCACAGGTGTGAGTCTATGTTGGAAACAGAAGAATCTGTATCAAAAAGATGAAAGGTCTGTGCCAGAGGGTTGAAGGAGCTGGGGGTCAATGTCTTCCAACAGTGGTGAAGACCTAATCTTTCCAAGAAAAGGAAGCACTTCCTTATTCTTTCCCTTTTTATGCTGCTTAAGCAGCAAGGTTATTGGTTGGTGCCACCCACTTCTAGGGTGGGTCTTTCCCCCTCAGTTTGCTGGCTTGTGTGTCAGTCATCAACGGGCACCCAGAATATATCAATCTATTGCGTAGCTATTAATTCAAATTGATATATCGCAATGAATATTCACAGAATGCTTATGTCACTTATGTTTTATACTCCATACTGCTGCCAGAGGAACAAAATGAAGTTGGAAAAAAAGGGCTTCAGGTAACAGGGCTTCTTTATTTGCAAATTTAAAATTGTGGTCATGCTTTTAATAAAATACGCTAAGTTTAGGATTGGTTGCCAGCTGTAAGGTACCTATATGGGAACTAGAAAAGGCCATCCTCTGGGTACTCACTATGGTCAGATGCAGCATTTCTCTACAGGGCATAGAAGCAAGTGATACCAGTAAGAAAAAAAAAAAAATGGAAGGAGGCTATAGAGGCAACTGTGTGTGCGTGGGGGGGGGGGTGGTATAGAGGTGAGAATTACTGGTCCCAAAGCTTGCTGAGTGGTACTGGGGCTAGACTTCAGTCTCTGTTCATACCTTCTCAAGAAGGACTTTTATATAGCCCATGAAATGCACAGTACATGCAGCAGCCTTGATGCTGTCAAGAAAAGCTGACCTCATACGGGAACTGGAGACTCAGTACATTCAAGTAGATTATACGTAGACTTTACTGAATTTCTGAAGTCACACATTTTAGAAGATGCTATCTGCTTCACTTTACCTTTATATGACTGTCCTGAAAATGTTGAAAATTGAATTCATAACTTTTTTCCCGCCCTTCAATTGTCCAAATCCTGATTTGTTTTCTAAATCTTGATTCCAGATAGCAGGAGCCCAGAGTTGATTCTATTGCAGTCTTTATCCTCATACCTATATGGAATGTTCACAGCAATTGTATAAATGGTTGCTGTCTTGGTCCATTTTTGTTATTATAATGAAATAATATTTGATTATGGGTAACTTTACCAAGAGAAGTAATTCATTTAACTCATCATTCTAGAGTTTCAATTACATGGCACTACCAGCAGCTCATGGCAGGTGGTGTCATAATGCAGGAAAAGATTATACTGCCAGCCAGGAAGACAGGGAGACTGAATTCTCAAAATCCCTTCTGTAGGTGCACCCCGGTTGGTTTTAGGACCTCCACTTAAGCCCTACTTACAATACAGCCACATTGAGAACTCAGATCTCAAAACATGAAAGAGACGCAGACTGCGTAGAAACAGTAGCACTCTACCCCTCCTGCTCCCTAAAGTCCATGTTCTTCTCACAGTGCAAAATGTACTTTTTATCCACAACAGTCCCAGTGTTATATAAAAGTCCCACTCAAAAGTCACAATTGAGACCCAAGGCAAAGTCTTACAACTGTGACCTCTGTAAAAGTAAGAAAAAAAAAAATAGGTTACATCTTCTATGTTCTGATAGCAGGACAGGATAGAATAAACACACATTCTTAGCAGACATTGAAGTCACAAGTTCTAAGTCTGGCCTCTTGTGTGCACTGCAGTGAGGGCATCCTTCATTTCCTTCTCATCCTTTAATTGTGCTCATTTTAGGCAACATGATTGCTTTCTTATTTGGTTTTGATATGCCACATGTCACCTTTCTTAACAGGGATTGCATGTTGCCATTTTGTCTACCTTCCTAGGGTCTACACTACCTATCTGTACCAGAAAGGACTGATGTGATCTCAAATAGAAGGGGGAACCTTAATTTGCTCCTCCTAGGGTAGTAGTTCATCAACTTGTCACAGAAAAACATTTTAGGATGTATCAGTGTGAAGCATAGGCAGATTCGTTACCAGACCTAGGAAGTGAGAGAAAATAAGGGACATCAGCTTGACTAACTGAACGGGGCACACCTCTGATGAAGCAGTGTAGACTGGCCCATTAAGAAGAGAAAAGCTATTTATAGATATTTATATCACCACTGGGATGCAATAGGGGCTGGTAATTTTCCATGGATCATAGTTTTCCATTGGCTCTTTTGGGTGAACTCTTTCCTCATGCTTCATGGGATCTGGTACTAAAATGAGACAATGTCTCTGCAGCTATTCTCATCCTTGGAGGCAATATGGTAGCTTTGGTTATCACAGAAAATAGTTTTAGCCCAAAGAGTAGAGGATCATAGGTAGTCACATTCTATACATAATTAGCAAGGAAAGATTGGGAAAAAGACATAGCTCTGCTTTGGTGGTAACTACAGGTCATGGATTAAGGCCTGAGAATTGTCTTCTATCCCCATGAGGATCCCTGTCCTACTACAGATCCACTCTCATGCCTGCACTAGGTATTGCCCATGACTGCTGCTCTATAAGGGCTCTGACCCTGTAGTAAACTTCTGCCTGGCCTCCCAGGCCTTCCTTTGAAATTTTGTAGAAGGTTTCACAACCCCATAGCTCTTGTTTTTTGCATAACTGTGAAACCAGAACCGTACAGCACCAAGGTCTGCTGCCAGAAGCAAGAGCAGTGCCTGAGCCTATTCAAAGCACTGCTGTGGCCCTCTGTTGTTCACCAGGTGAATGCAAGGCCAGTACATGGAGAGTGCCCAGGCAGTCATGAACTATTCTGCCCTTCCACGCCCCTGGGGCTGTGATGAGAGGGAACATTTCAAAGATTTCTAAGAGGCCCTAAAAACCTTTACCTCTTGTTTTGCCTATTAGCACGTAGCCCTCTTTAGTCCATGCCGACCTTAACAGAGATGCCTAAACACATCCCTCTGGTTCTCAGCATGCTTTATAGCTCACTCCCTGGCCAGGCTATGGATTTGCCAGATCTTCCTTTCCTGTTTCCCTTTGCTCATGTGTCTCACAGTGAATACAACTAAAAGGCACTGACAGTGTCCATGCTGTAGCCTGTGTGCCCTGTTGGAAATCCTCACCAGACAACTCACTCCATTATTCTTACGTTCAATTTTCCACAAAGTGATAGGACTCAAATTGTATCTAGGGTCTTTGCAGTGGCTTGTAGGTAACTGTTATCATATTTTGAATTGGGTCCTCATTTCCACCTAAGGTCTGTTCCTTATTTTCTTCTTCTTGTCACTGGCTACAGTACATTCATAACTCCATGTAAGATGAAAATCAGATGTGGGCCAGTTCTAAACTAAAAATAAAATGAAAGTTTATTATAGGAAAGAAACACAGATGGCAGCTCCACAGGCAGCAGCCAGCCCAGAAAAGGACAGCAAATTTGGTATATCACAAACAGAGCAGCCTTGCACAAGGAACCATTTTGCTTTATGGGGTTTCAGAGGAATGCCATTAATTATTCATTTTTTAATACAAGGTGCAGGTATCTCTGGCAGGATAGAGTTACATGTGTGAACCCATCCAAGACTTGCATCCTGCTTCCTGATTTCCAGGAGTGGAGTGGCTCTGTCCTCTTGATTAATATTTACTTTCTTTCCCCCTCTTATCACCCAAAAGTACAGCTACTGGCTTTCTCAATGTACTGTTAGCTTCCTGCCTCACTTTGAGCCCTCAACAGAATCAAACTTACTGCTTACGGCACTGTAGCCTCTCCGTCTCCGTCTCTGTCTCCGTCTCTGTCTCTGTCTCTGTCTCTGTCTCTCTCTCTCTGTCTCTGTCTCTCTCTGTCTCTCTCTCTCTGTCTCTCTCTCTCTGT